TTCGAGTTATTAACGAAAAACTTGAAAACATGACTTTTTTGACAAAATTATCTTAAGGGATTTTCGAATAATTTACTCAAAATGCAAATGTTCAAATTGTTGTCGGAAACGTTCACCGGTTTCCGTAGTGTAGTGGTTATCACGTGTGCTTCACACGCACAAGGCCCCCGGTTCGATCCCGGGCGGAAACAGTTAAAACAATTGTTTTACTCTAAGCTTCAATCAAAGTATACGTCAAGTCATCGCGTATTTACAAATTACCCGTATGAACAAATGCCTGCACAATAACGTATCGAGAATGAGTGAGCATTAAATTCCGAGGCATTATTCACGATAGTCATGCTCCTCTATTGTTTTTGTTTATGTTGCTAGGATAGATTAAACTGGGTGAGGATGCGAGGAGAGATAAGAGCAATTCTCTATTGAGATGTTCAGAGATCGATGCATTCTCTTTCGCAATTCAACGATATATTTCTAAATAGAAAACGAAACTGAATTACCCTAATCGTCGTAGAATTATTGTTACCACATATAGTTTTTGGATTGAAGGTTTTTCGTCGAATTGAATCCGAAAGGTTTTGTAGAGTCATGCGATGACGTTTTATGAAAAAAAAAAAAACTTAGATTAGGAGGCGTTATCAATGAACGATGAAGTAGTTAGTATGCGGCAATTAGTGTTCGCATGTACAAATAGATGTTGATGTATAGCGAGAGACAGAGAGAATAGCGTTACAGAGAACGTCGGATGACCTTGAATGGCATAAATTAAACTCTCTGGTGATTTGGTTCAGTTATCATTCAACGCTTTTATATAATTCCCAGTATAAACATAATTGTGAACTGAACGGTGCGCGAATAGGACGATAGAACATATCGAAAAGGACGATTTCGAACACGAGCAAATGATGAGCAGCAGCAGCAATAGAGCCACGTTGGAGCTGTCCAATGGAGTCAAGATGCCCGCCGTAGGTCTGGGCACATGGCAGGTAACGCAACCATAGCAAAATCATCATAGCAACGCATTTGTTACTACTAATCAATGACGGTTGCTATAGGCGACGAGCGGTGATATGACGACGGCAATGCACGAGGCTCTGTCCCTTGGCTACCGCCACTTCGACACGGCCATCCTGTACGAGAACGAGAGACCCATCGGAGGAGTCCTCAACTATTGGATGGAGCAGGGTCGCATCCGCAGGGACGAACTGTTCGTCACGACGAAACTACCGCCGACCGGAATGTACCCGGGCAAAGTGGAGCCGTACCTGAGGAAGTCGCTGGAGAATCTGATGCTCGATTACGTCGACATGTACCTGGTGCACTGCCCCAACGGTATAAAGCGCGACGAGGAGAACACCGCCGTCGAAGATACGCAGGTCGATCACGTCGCCATTTGGAAGGTGAATATATATTCAATCTAAAACAACAACAGCAATGATTATTACAATCGGTTAGATTGATAATTTCGTACTTGCTGCTTGAAGGAAATGGAAGCGCTCGTCGATTGCGGCCTGACGAAAGCCATCGGAATATCGAACTTTTCGCTCGAGCAAATCGCCAGTCTGGTGAAGAACTGCCGCATCCGTCCGATGAATCTGCAAACCGAACTGCACGTCTACTTTCAGCAGAAGGAGCTGGTGGAGTTTTGCCACGGGCACGGCATAACGGTCGTCGCCTGCTCACCGCTCGGATCTCCGGGTTTGACCGCATTCTACAGCGGTTACGGGGTCGTGTAAGCGAAGAAACTATAACAAAAAAAAACGATTGAATATATGAGTTTGCAAACAGGAAGAACGTTCCGAACCTGCTGGAGCTTCCGCTGCTCACGGAGATGGCGAAAAGGTACGACAGAACTGCTGCTCAAATAATGCTCAGACACACCGTGCAGAAGGGCGTCGGCGTTATCCCGAAGAGCACCAGTCCGAAACGTATGAAGGAGAACTTGGAAGTACTCGACTTTGAGCTCACCACCGAGGACATGGAGAAACTCTCTGCTCTGGATATGGGGACGAGCGGGCAAATCACCAAATGGGAATCGTGGACTTGGTGAGTCGAAGAACAGAAACACTGAAAAAGTTAAATTGATTAACAATATGCGATATAGGGTGGAGAACGATCCGTCTGGGACGCCTTCGCATCACGCACCCCAGGAAAAGAAAAGAACGTCGACAAACAAAAGCGAAGAGACTTCATCAACGTCATCGTAAACATTATAATTACAATTACATACCATATAAACTTTTGAATCCACGTGCGCACACACATCTTTCTCTCGATCGTCGTCCTCTATAAGAATCATCACCATTAATCATCAATAAATAATATTATAAAAGTTAATATTAGTAATTTACTTACCGCAGCTGCACACATTTCAATTCAAAACAAAACAGGAAACTAGAGCAGCAGCAGCGCCAAAGTGCTCGAACTAAAACGATTTTGTTTTGTTTTTCATATAGGGAACTTTATTAGCAGAGAAAGAGTGAGAGTTATGTAATCAATCGGTGATTAAATCCTGACGTAACGTCAATTTGTCAAGGAATTTTTTTCTCTTTCGACAAACGACCATAACCTTAAATGCACCTGTTGCCCTCCAGTCACAGCTGTCTCTTCAATTAAAGTTTATCACCCCCATCATGGCACAAATAGGAAAGAAACTGTTCGAGCATCTCAAGAGCAAAGAGTTCAGAAACTATTTGGCCAGGTAATTAATAACAATATTGCATCGAGACAATTATATATTTGATTTGGATGTTTTTCAGTACACATTTCTGGGGTCCCGTCGCTAATTGGGGCATTCCCATTGCGGCTTTGGCAGACATCAAGAAGGATCCAAAATACATCAGCGGAACAATGACTTTCGGTTTGTTCTCTCTCTCTATATATATATGCAAACAATAACTGCAAATGCAATCATTACTAATTTACCAACTGTTTTATTTCCATAATAAAAAGCTTTGTGCTGCTACTCGTTGGTGTTCATGCGATTCGCTTGGAAGGTGCAGCCGAGGAACATGCTTCTCTTCGCTTGCCATTTTACTAACGAAGGGGCTCAGTTGGTGCAACTCGGACGGTTCATGAACTACACTTACAGTGAAGAGGCCAAAGAGAACAAGCAATGATGACGAGGATCTTGGGTTTATAGCACAATTTAACATTATTTTTTTTTAGTCTGTGATGAATGGAGAGGAAGGAATTTGCTAGTCGCTCTCTGTTTACTAGTTAGGAAGAGACTAGAAGAGAGTATTAAGGGTGTTTTTGTTGCCACATATTTATTTATATACATTTATTTTGTAAAGACGATAAAGAGTAATATATTTTGTAAAGTGACTTCCATTCAATTGTTTCTCAATTCCAACCAATCAACGACCTCGACCAATCAACGAGTCCCCACTTGTCGATTGGTCCAATTCATCGACCATTTTGTTTTCCAGTCGTTAGTTAAGCCACCATAACTGACAGTAAGTAGACTTAAGTATTGAATTAAGTTCTCTTTCTTTATTTCTTTTAAGAAACACACACACATCCTATTCATTATTATTTTGCAGTTCATATCTTTTTCAATAACAAATCAAATGTGCTTAAACATTATATTTTTCCTCTCTTCAGTTTTGACTAATTCTTTTAAACAATTTTTCATTAAGTATTTGATTCGTGAACGCTAAATATAAATTTTATAAAACTATCATGTTCTTTCTTCTTTTTGTTTTCTTTTGTAAATGTACAGAAATTTTGAGACTAAATTAATAATAATATATATAAACGAACAAATAGAATGGAAAAATATTAGAGTGTTTCTCTTTTCTAAACGTAAGGAGCGAAGAAAACAAAATTAAAAAATAACAAAAAATGTAAATAAGGAAATTAAAAAAAAAAAAAAAAATATATGAAAGTTATTAACAAGTGGATCAAGGTTGGTTTAGGTGTAGGTGGGTAGGTAAGTAAGTAATTAAGGAAGGGTGCGTAGGTGTGAATTGACTTGCTAATTGGATATTACAAAACGTAATCTAGTTCGTATCTTATGTACTGGTTTTTGGGGTCGTTCATGATGCGAGGATAACCGGCGACGAGGGCGTCCTGTCCACCGATGTAAAGAGAGTTGTAGATCTTCCAGTAGACGTCCCTCACCTTCCTGGCCGGATGGAATAAACCCTGACAAACAGAGACAGAAAAAGTATTAATATTGAAGAATTGCGAATGAATAATAAATAGTAATTTACCTGCAACGTGTACTGGAGGATTTTGATGGGTCCGAGTGCAACTCGCATCCCCTCTATAGCATCCATGAAGGCTTGCACGAGATGCGGGGAAGTTTCGAAAATGTTGGGCCAGACGTAGTTGAGCAGATGGACCAAAGCATCCTCGCAGCCAAAGCCGTAGACGCCGAGAGCCATGTGCTTGATGGCGGCGCACGCCGTCTGTCTGTGCACCAGGTCCCTGTCCATGAGAGCATCTTCGAGGAGCGGTGCAACAGCGTAAATGTAATCCTTACCCATCTCACCGATGTACTCGAAGAGGAAGGAGAGCGACTTGAGCACTCCGTTCTGCACGTTCAACTCTGGCACTCGGTACTCGTTCATCAGGGCAGGTAGAACGGTGAAAGGTGAGCAGGTCTCGGCGACGATGGCGATTGCGACGGTCGTGCACACGCGATTCTGCCTCTCCTGCACCTTCAGATTGTTTAGTAACGTGGCGAGGACGTCGTGCGGTCCGATCGCCTTCGCGATGTAACCGAACGTGTTCACCGTAGCTCTTCGGATGGCCTTCTTGTGTGCCTTCAACAACTCGAGCAGCTCGAAGCAGATCCTCATCCATTCTCGAGCAGACACGTACTCTGGTCCTCGATCGGCGATCCTTCCCACCAGATCGATGCAGTTCTCCTGCACCTTCTCGTGTCGATTCTTCAGGATCGGTGTCAACCTCGGAAGCAGATCCTTGATGGGCGGCGTCATCTTCGTCATGCCTATGACGTTCACGATGGCTTTCAGCGCTCCGAGGATCGAACCGAGCACCTCCGGGTATTCCTCACCCAAATATTCGTAGAGCACGACGCCCAAATGTCCCATCAGTTTCTCCTCCAGGCAAGTCTTCATGACGACGGCGATGCGCGAGATCAGATCCGCCGCCTGCTGTCGCACCTTCGCCGATTTGTTGTTCAATCGCCACAGGATCGTACCGCAGATCTGCGGCAGGTACGGCTTCACCCTCTTCCCCAGTTGATTCACGATAGTTCCGAACCCGTTCAACATCACCACGTCTTCGGTGGTTTGCTCCTGGAACGCGTACAATATTCCGTCAATCAGTTGCTCCTCCAGTCGCGAATCGATGTCCGCCGCCCCCAAATTACCCATGATCTTCTCGATCGATTCCATCACCATCTTACGGTACTGCTCGTTCTCATCTTTCAGATCATCCACGATCCTATTGATGATCTCCGACGCTCCCACCTTGTTAGCAATCTCCACCGTCGTATCCACCAGCTGCCTGTAATTCCTCCTGTCCAAGGCCATACGATGATTCCAGAAATGCTTGAAGAACTGCGGCAAGATCTCCTCCTTGATGTACTGTGGCTCGACACCGTCTGTGCCGCAGCACTGCTTCACCACCTTCAACACGATCTTCTTCATCTCCTCGTCGGGCGACTGAAACTCCCTGATGAGAATCAACATCACTTCCCTCGTATAGTAATTGGCGTACTCGGCGTCCATCAGCGGTATCAAATAACCGATGGCTTTCAGGAAGGCGGCTAAACCTTTTCCCCTGTGAGTCCTGATACCTTTCCACAGAGGTTTCAGCACAGAATCGAAGCTCTCTATACCGTAGGGTGTTGCTGCTTCGGCCAACGCGGCTATACCCAAAGCGGTGATCGTTCTGACCTTCTGCTGCTCGTCCACCAAACCGTGCTCGATGATCTCCACCAACGATTTGAGATGCGGAAGGATCGCGCATCCCATCAGGATGGCGATCTGCTGGACGATTTTGATACCCGTGTGTCTCGCCTGCCACGACTTCTTCGATCTGCAGACGGCCTTCAAGAAGGGCAGCAATGATGGAATTCCCAGAGCGGATGCGACGACCGCGAACGCTCTGGCCGTCGTATTCCTCACGTACTCATCGATGTTATCAATGTCCGGTCTCATTGTCGAAATCATGGTGGCCAGACCGGCGGCTTTCGCTAAATTCGAAATGATCTCGCGACCTTCGACACGCGCGTAATAATCTTCGTCGATCAGCAGAGGTTCGATTACGACCAATATCTTGTGCACGTACGGCCTGACCAAATCGTCCAATTTGTAGAGGATCCTGTCGATAACTTTGACGAGCAAATGTCGTTCCTGGTCTTCCAATGTGGGACTCATCAGCAGCGGTAAGATTTGATTGAACAATGGACCCGCGCCAAATTCTCTGGCCTTATCGGTTATCTGTCTCAGAGCGGCTTTCCGCATCGGCGGAGTGCCGTTCTTGATCTTCAACAACAGTTTCATGATCTTCCTCTCTTTCTGCTCCTCGGGACTGAGAGCCTCCTCGTCGACGTCCACAAGCAGCTTATCGAAATACTGAGCATCCTCTGGTTTCATGAACGGCAAATTCTGCCCTTTCGGTTGGTTATCAATGTACTTGGCGCTCTTATCTTCGGTTTGCATGAAGAAGCCTTGAGGTGTGTTCATCATCGGCGTGGGCGTGGCTGTCAGCTTCCTCGACGGAGTTCTGATTGGTATGTATCCGGCTGGAGGCTGCAGAATCTTGTAACCGGGCGGGAACATGGCGTCCAACTCTTCATCAGAGTACGGCCTATTCCTCTCGTCGATCTCCCGCTCCCATCTGAACGCTTGCAACTGCTCGGGCGTCATCGAGGCCAAATGACCTGGAGTGGGTGTGGCCATCCCCATCGCCTTAACTCCGACGGGCGTCGATCCACCCGGTGTTAGCATCGGAGTGGCGTGACCCGGAGTGCCGTGAGGTGTTTGCGGCGTCATGGCTCCAGGTGTCATGGTGACGGAAGGCGTTGCGGACGGGGTTTCGTCCCAACGCGACCTCCTCTTCGAGGCACCAGGAGTTGGCGTCTCCTGGATCAGGTCGGCTCCGGTGCGGTCCGTGCGCGGAGTCTCCGCCCAACCGCTCGAATGTCCCGGTGTTTCTCTCTCCGTTTTCGGAGTCTCGTCCCATCTGTTTCTGCGGGAGGCGCTCTTATCGTGGGCAGGCGTCTCGCGACCCGGCGTCGCCGCACCTGGTGTCGCATCCCACATACGCGTCGATTGTCCGGGCGTTGCTCCAGGAGTTTCGCTCCCCTTGTGTCCAGGAGTCTCGTCCCATCTGTGATCCGCAGGTGTACGCTAATCAACAAAGAAGAAAGGTTAATAATTAAACATTGAATAATTTCTCACTGAAACACTTACATCATTATCACCCCAGGTAGGCGTTTGGGCTGTGTTTGTGGTTATAGTAAGGGTTTTCTTCTTGGCAGGAACGAAACTATCCTCGACGGTCTGATCCCATCTGCCTCTCTTCTTCGGCGCCGGTTTCGCTTCGCCGTTGGTCGTTTTCAACGTTCCGTCCTTTGATTTCTCGGAGATTTTCTTACGCAACTACAAAGCGGGACAAAAGAAACAAAAAGTCATAATCATCGAATGGTTCGAAATTAAATTCAAACTGAAAACCATCGACAATCATGCTAATAAACAAGCAATATATCCATGCACGAGAATAGTATCTGAAGATAGAAGCTTTGTACTCTTCGGTAAAGACAAAAGTATAAACCTAAAGTCACTATCCTCGTGCTTGTACAAATTTTGCTGAAAGATAAAATTAAAAAAACATTTTAAACTTTAAACACTCGCATTAGCATGATTGATTAAATAAGCAATAAGTATGTTTCTTTCTTACCTCGTTTTCTTCGCCTTTGAGGAGCTGCTCCTTCATAATCTGGGTGTAACCCCTCGCATTGACCTCGGGCGTCTTGCCACCTGCAAAACCATCGAATCTAGTGTTAGTGCGGCCAAAATTCGCAATTTTCCCCCAATACAATCGAAACGTGTCTCTGATTGATCGATACTGAACCATTTACAACTTCTCTAATTATTTTTTTTTTGTGTTTTAATGTGTAATTAAGTAATTTAGAAAAATTGGAACGTTTTCGATTGTACCAAAATAAAATCTGTTTTTTATATATATATATATATGTTCTTATTCAGCAGTGATCCACATATTAAACTCACTTATTCTATCAAATTACAACTTGAAATCCTAATAGTTGAAGGAGAGAGAGAGAGAGAAATTAATGAGAGAATCAGTGAGAGAAATAATGCAGACCAGAATACGTACGTGTTGCAGTGACCCATTGTGAATTATTGAAGTCTTGAGATTACTGGGAATACTTTAGCGAACCTAGAAATAGGCTGGGGTCATTAATAGTTTTTCGAAACCAGTTCACACACTCTCATTCTAGAAACTTTTTGTCCGATTTGTCTTTGAATTTTCTTTTCTCTTATTTTTTTTTTCACAATAGTAAATCTTTTGCTGGTGATTTGGTCTTTTCTCTCTGTATTCAAATTTCTTTTCTGTTTTACTATATATATGTTTATATATGTTTACCAATTCAAACTCGGCAATTCCACTAACACTGTAGATGCTCTATGCTGTTTCCCTATATGTCGACCAACCCACGGTGGAGAACAAAAGTTGTCATTAGTATTTTTTGTACTTGCACTTGCGATTCATTTTTAATATATTACTCTTTTTTGTTTTGTTTTCTGCTTTACATGCTTAACCAGTTTCGATGATCAATTAAAAAAAAAATAACAAACGCATTCACAGCAGGCGCACATTCGCTCGTCATTCGCACACCCCATAATACAAACAAAGTTGCGGATTTTCTTTTTTTTTTTTGTCTTATTTCAAAAAAAATATTGAAAAAGATAAGAAGACATACAAGAGAGAGAGATAAAAAAAGTACGTAAAATTGACACTCACCATCTGCGAATGGATCAACTCTTTCCGGGGATATGATCATTTGTCTCCTCTTCTGTCTATACTCATCCTCCCTGTCCGCAATCGTGGGTCTCCTCCTGTCTGCGAATGGATCATAGTCTTTGTCGCTCTGCAAATAATAACAGTTAATAATTGTGACTGTTTCCAATTGGGAGATGGATATGTTACCAGGGCCACATCGTTGAGCAGGGCCACCGGCGCCCCAAACGTCGGTTTCTTCTGGGCAAAACCCACGTCCTCCTCCTCTTCGTCCACCTCATCGTTGGCTGCGATCGAGGTGACGTACCCCTCGTACTTGCTCTTTCCGCTCTCATAGATCTCACTATCGAAATAACCGCTCTCTCCCAGACCGACCCCCTTATCCGGTCCATCTTCGGGCACCTCTGTTTTCTTCTTCGCTTGCAAATCTCTGATCTGCGCTTCAATATCTGAAAATCAAAAACAACAAAAAAAAAATGAATAACAAATAAACAAAAACGTAACGATAACGCCATTTTTTTAGGTTATGTTTTTCGTGGATTTCGGGGGGCCTCACCTTCGTGCGTTTTTGGTATATTTTCCATCGTTCTCGGAATCCCCTCCGTTTAATCCATGAATACAACGAACGTTTTCACTCGAATTCGCGCCTCTATTTCCGCTGGGATCGCTCGAAAACTTAAACTTTAACAACTGATTATGAAAAATACGCGACAACGATGATGATGGCGACCGCCGTTTCACCAAAACTCGATGCATGCGTTACCAACAACACGACGAAGCGAAAATCACCAGAAAATATTGTTATGATCCAACTTCACTTCGATCTGTCTAAAACATTCGGTTGCATACGTAGCATAAAATTTGAATTCAAATTAAAACCGCAACTAATTATCAATTAATAGACTAATATTTTGGTGTGTGTTCATTGGGTTGCATATACTTCAAAATTTGAATTATTTAATATAATAAGATTTAATCAAATATTCGTAGAAAACATTTAAATATTAAAATATATATTAATGCGCGATAACATGTTGGTATTATTATTATTATTATATAATATTGTGTAAATTGTTTGTTTTGGCAATGATGGTTGATTGTGTTTAGAGCTGTATGTCCTCCATGTTGCTGGCAGTCTTCAGCTTAACTTTGTTCTTGGTCCGTCTGAGACTGCCGAGGACGTTGAGCATCTCGGAGACGGCTTTCGGCGTTTCCCTCTGCTTCTTGTTGTTGTTATCCTGGCTGGCTTTGCGCAGCGTGAAGAAACCGCCTTTGATCTGGTTGATGATCTCGTCGTTGACGCCGGCCTTCTTGTTATCCGTTGCCGTGGAAGCGGCGTCGTCAGGGGGCGGGGAAGTCCTCGAGATTTTCTTGATCCTCAACGGGACAACAGGTGGCGGTGGTGGAGGAGGCGGGAGAATGGGCGGAGCTGGCGGTGGTGGAGGCGGTGAAGGAGGCGTTGCCACCGGCGGTGCTTTCACCGCTTCCTCGGCTTTGTCTGCTCTCATTATGGCGTGCAAGAGTTCGGATTCGGTTAACTTCAGTCGCTCCTCGAGTATCTCCAAGTGAGAGTTACTCTCCATCTCTTCGAATCGCTCCTGCATGACCTGAAGCTCAGCGACGTGCTTGTTCCTCTCATCCTCCAGAGTGCTCTTCAGCTCTTCGATCTCCTGCATCAGAAGCATCGTGTCCATTCCCTCGTCCGCGTTCAATCCTTGCAGCAGAAGAGTGCTCCTGTGAGCCAACACGTTTCTCTCCTTCTTGTAATCGTCCGCTTCCTTCCTCAAGATCAAAGCGTTACTCTTCTGACTCTTCACCATCTCTTTGAAATCCTCCAACTCGCGTTTCATCATATTCGACACGCGCAGCATCTGCTCGTGGCTGTTCTTCAGATCCACCAGCTCCTGCTGCAACCTCTCGTTCCTCTTCCTCTCTTCCTCCAATTCCTGCGTTAAATGTATATTGCTTTCAGTCGCTTCAAATTCCAGCAATTTCGCCGAGTTCAACTCGGACTGAAGATGCGCCACCTCGACGCTAAGATTCTTCACGGATTCCTTCAAGTTCTCCAAGTCCGAATCGGAAGCCGTCTCCCACGAATCGACTCCTTCATCGATCGAATCCGCAACGTCCAACAACATCGTTCTTCGACGCAGCACTTTGTTCTCTCTGTACCAGTTCGAAGCATCCGCGAGAGCCCTGCAAAAAAAAATGTTTATTCGTTGCTAGGTAATTGGTTTTAATTGCTAGGTAACCGTACTTGTTCATTGCCGTGGTTTCCACCTCGTACTGGTTCTTCAGCGAATCGTACTCCTTGAAGAGCGTCTTCGAGGCGGTCGTCAATTTTGCTAAACTCTCGTTTCTCTCGAATAATTCCGTTTCCATTTCTTCATTTTTCAAGCACATGTGCGAATTTTTCCTCTCCAAATCATGGATGGTGCGACGCGCTGTTAAAACATATAAAAAAAACAAATAGAATCACAATAAAACTGAAATAGAAATGTACCTTTTTCGTTTTGCGCGAGTAACGTTTTCCGCTTTTCCTCCGTCTCCTCGAACTTCTGTCGCCATCTGTTGGCCTCATCGCGGATGGCCAATGGGGATGTGGGGGTGGTCGGAACGCTGACCGATCCGAGCCTACTATTGGTTCTCCTCAACGGAAGTTTGCTGTTTCCGGTTGTGAGGGAAGCCGGAACGGGATTGTAGGCGTGCATCGCCATCTCTCGGACGATTCTTCTCGCACTTCTTTTCAATTAGGTCCGCATCGATGCTGCTGCAGCTTCCCGAAACTCCTGGAAAACAAAAATATATGTAAGAGAAGACGTAGTAAACACGCGCTAGATCCATTTTATTTTTAGCTCCCTCTTTTATTTTCAGGCCCACTTTGATGAACTTTTCACACTCACTTAATTCACTCAACCCAAAAAAAAAAAAAAACAAATACGAAAACAAACCAGAAAAAAATAGGGGAAATTTTATAAATTTAATAATTGCATCAAGTAGTTTGAGAACCGGAAGTTGTCATAGTTTATGTATTAACAATTGATTGATTGATTGATTGATTATCACCCATTAATTTATAAAAGTTCGTTATCAGTAGGCTTTGGATTAGTGTACTCTATCGTATCATCATTGTTATTTTACAGTTGCTAAGTAACACATGTTTATGTTTCTCTCACGAAACAGTCGAATGCGAAAGAAATAAATGAAATATGACGTTACGTGAGTCATTAAAATTCCTGATGCATTTAGGACGCACAACAATAACAAGAAAAACTAAGTTTTTTTTTTGGGGTCGTCAAGGTCTTAAAATGATTGATATTGAGAGATTCCAAGGAAAAAACAGTTAAACTATTCTGTGTTTAAGGAATGTTTTCGTTTCAATTTTGTGGCAATTAAAGTCACTTTCATTTGCGGCTATTAAATTATTGTAGTTTTGCGAGTGTCTGTCTCACGTGGGTGTGTTTCAGTACAAAAGAGCAGAGCCGGATCCAATCGAAACAAACTAAAATTCAAAATTATATAAAACAATTTCCCTTTCATTCGAGACCACTTTCTAATCGTTACTCTCTTCTTTCTCTCTTTTCGGGACACGCCCAATGATGCAACAAATTAATTGGTTGCTATGGTAATTTATTGACAGTTGCTATAGTTATGGAGATTTTTTGATTGACTCCGGTCCTGCGTCGCGAATGTTTCCATTGACAACCCGACCACACACATACGCACACACATCTTTCCTGATGACACAGATGCCATTCTCGACGAGGGAGGACGTTGATCTCAAAGGAAGTGATGAAGGAGGAAGAATGAGAGAGAGTGAAATTCCACACAGAAAAAAATAATGTCACAAATATACATAAGAGATAAACGAAATTGTTAGATGCACATTTTGTAAGGGTCAAACAAGCTTATTACTCGACCAAAGATAACAATGTATAATAGATACGAGAACAAGAACATCGTTCATTGAAACTCTCAATTATTCGAGCTATTTAAGAGCTTAATTGCTGCTATGGTAATAACCGAAAATAGTTTGTTACCATGGTGACATCTTCGAATTTGTATGTTGAGAGCGCTATTAATTTGTTTCGTTGTTACGTAATTTATTTCGTTTCTCGCAACAAAACAATAATAATCAAGTGAACTGTGTGTGTGTGTGTGTGTGAAACAAAAAAAAAGAAACAATAAAATCGTAAAACAAAACGACGTAACAGCATCTCGGTCCGAATCTCGAGTCAACTGTTTTAACTGTACTCTTTTTTTTTTGAACTCACAGTTTCTTCTTTTGTTTTAGAGAACTTTACAAAAATGTAATAAAAACAAGAGTTTTAAATTTATATAATTACCTTCTTCAATTGTTTTTTTTATTTAGTTTGCTTTTGATCACTGTGAGGTTATATTCGTAACTATTGATAACATTCATGCGTTTCTAAGGTTACACCAAAATACTCTTATCTAATCAAAGCCGGCTTTTACCATTAATAATACACATATATTTATATCAGAATAAACGGTGATTCATCATGATACGTTTTGTGGCGAAATAAGTAAAATTAGTTAAGTTTTCTTAAGTGAAAACTTTCTGCCTTTTGTGCAAAGAAAGGTGAAAACGTGTGCAAATATGCGAATAAAAAAAAGAAAAAACGAAAGAAGAAATCGCCGATGTTGTCACAGCCCCTTGGGCGAAGACATCGAAGACTCGTTATTATTTGAGCTTGGAAGTGAAATCCACTTTACTTTCCAATACAATAAATAAGTACACGTACTTACAGGTATTAACAATCAAAGGAAAAGTTATCAATTTCATCAATTTACAAGAATTTTAATAATAACAAAAATTTCTCAATTTTGTTTTCGCTTGTTTGTTGTTTTCATGGCGTAGTTACATCTTGTATGAACGCGTTTTCACTTGTTTCTTTAGTACTAATGGAAAAGTATGTCTACGCTTAATTGACAATACCAATTGTTTCTTTTAAGTTTCGTTACTAAGGAAACACAAAAAGAAATTGACAATGACCCTAACAAATTCAATTGTTTCCACGCAGCTGCGCTTCGATTTGATTACATTTTCTTTTGTTTTAATCACTTTGATCGATGATTTCATGCATATTTTCGCTATTTATCAGCAACAACAACACGTAATCAACCGCTAAGATTATAATAATTTCATAAAAAATTTAATTATTGTTGTTAATTATTGTTTCTCATCTTTGTTTTCTACAATTTTTTCCCAGAGCCATATTTTTGCTAACCTTGAATTTTTAATCGCGTTTCGTCTTTTTCTACCTGACGATATTGAACTTTGCATTCGTTTTTTCAATTGTTATTATTATTATCAATAACAAAAGAAAACGCATTGATTAATTGTGAATTGATTCATCGTCATAGTAAACCATGACAATTCACCTCTTTTGTTTATCGACGCGTTCTTCTCTTTTATTTTCGCCGGTCAACGAAACTCGATTGTTTTTCAACAAAACAATTGTTTTGTTATTAATCATACGTTTTGATCACAGCTGATTGATATAAAAGTAACCATGACAACAAATCAAATAAAACGTTTTAATTATTATGTAAGAAAACGAACTATTAGCATTCTTGAGCGCATAAAATGAAAATTTGTATTAAACTAACTAAAAGTTTAGAAGATGAAGAATCAAACTTACTGTATAAGTTTTTGTTTTTGTTTTTTTGGCGCAACAGTAGGCGAAGGAGACACGGTAACCCACAATCGGTGCGCGAGAAACAAAAGAACGATGCGAGCACGGCACGGCACACGCGACTACACAAAGAAGAGTGATGAAGAAAGAGGATATTCTGTGGGTTGTTGTTGAGTAGTGCAAGGTGCAGTTATGAGTTGGATGCTGCTGCTGAGGTCGAAGTAGTGGTGGTAGAGAAGGAACAACAACAACAACTGAAACCACGAAACCGACGAAAACCAGAGATCATCACGGGTGAAAGTTCTTCGCTTCCTCGAAAATACATCCACAACTCGTTAAAGTCTTTTCATTAAGTTAATCCTTGTTTTTCGTTTGTCTTCCTTAATTCATCTGTTTTCTTTTTTTGTTGCTATAGAAACGATCTTCACTCAGGTATTGTTTCTCAGTGGACGGGACACGACACGCGACTCGATCTGGACTGGATCGGAGCGCGCTTTGGAATCTATCTTTAAGTGCCGCGCCTTCACTCTTTCCTTCCTTCCTTCTCTCTCTCAATCACTCTTCCCACAACTCTTTATCTTTCTTTCTCACTCTCGCTCATTCTCATTCCTCGTATTTCCATCTCTTAGGTTTTTACGCTATCAAATTCGAACCCCGCCAACGTGACTCATCATCAACATCATCATCATCATTGGGTAGGAAAATCATCAAAGAAGACGACCACACAATGAACGCGCGATAAATCTCGCGTTTTATATGACTCTGCTGCTGTATCACTTAACTATCATCTTCGTAACATCTTCTTCCTCTTGAATTATTATTACTTAGTCATATTTCAAGAAAATTAAAAAAAAAATTGATTTTCAAGCTTATAGATTGCATAATCTAAAAATATCTAGGTGAAAATTGTTTTAAAAATCATTCAAAAACATTCACGTTGGTATCACGTTAGTAATTCAATTTGACAGCTGTCAATTATTTTGCAATTTTGACAGCTGTCATTTATTTAAAATTGGTCGGTTTTATAAGCAAAACGAAACGCGTTTCAACAAACAAATATGAATTAGTTGATTGTTGATGTAATAAGTTTGCAGTGAATTTTGCACATTTCGTTTTGGACATTATTTCCTATTGGTTGCGATAGATTCGGCCATCTTGATTTGTTGATAATCAACCCCCAATAGCAACAATGCCGGAACCAAGATGGCCGACTGTCAAATAAATATTGGACCAATCGAATTGTTAGAAATAAAAAAGATAAATATCTCTTCATTGGTCAGAAAGATAACATTTTTTTGTTTTGTTTTTTTTAAATTTTAAATTTACGTTACAAAACTAACAGTTTGTAATGTTTGCAGAATGTTTTTTCAAGTGAAATCAAGACTATCGATTTCTATTTGCGTCTTTATTCTCATTTTTGATTTTCTTTTCTCTTCCCGTTTTAGAATGGAAGACGGAAAGGTTTCGCACTTTCCCGAAACCGATGAACGAACGCAAAGAAAAACAAGTGAGTATCGGGGGAAAATAGAAACGTTCGAGCGAGAAAAAGCGAAAAGCAGACGTGTTCGTCTTCTCTAATTGACGCTAAAAATAGAGGTAGAGAGGGCCGGTAATTAATTGGGAAACAGCCCCCAAACAAAGCCTATTAATACACACAACATGCGAGAGGCTCCATCTCTTTCTTTGGAACAAACAAACAAACGAAATTCGTGAGTAAACCGTGACTAATTCCCGATCCGAAAGTAAACTTATCTTTATTCCTGCAAAATTGAAACAGTGATGCAGTTACCGTGACAACCCAGGTTTTGACAGCGTCGCAGCGCACCCCAAACAAATTTGTAACAATATTGTAACTATGGTAGCATATGGGAAACGGAAAATAGGAAACATTGTTGTCATGGTAATTGAATATAATAGAAAATGTCTTCGGCGGAGACTGCAAGTCATTAAATCGAGTGGTCATGAATAAAACATGTTTTGTTTCCTATGCATTCAATCGCTCTCACTCTTTATCTTTCTCTTTTTCTTTCAGTTAAGTTGCAAAATGCATAAGTATATTTAACATAGGTGTATGTATTTAATGAAACGAGCGAATATGATGAAAATATGCAATTGTGTACGTTGTTGTTTTTTTTTTCAAGGATCAAACGATTCCAATTACCCGCGCTAATAACAACAAGTTGCATTCTCTCGCTCACTCTCTCTCTCTCTCTCTTTCTCCATATATAAATCGCTTTCCTTTTCCAACTTTTCCATAGCAACCTTTGTTTTGTTCAACCTCTCTCGTTCCCATGCAACCATAATTTTTCGTTCCCATTCGTTTCGATTCTGCAATTAATTTCATCGTCGTCGTCGTATAATTGCCATGGAAATAGCGTAAAATAACTGCGAATCGAGTGCCGCTTTAATAACGTACATTCGTACGTTCGTTCACCACAAAATAAACAAATCGTGACACATAGAAAACTGCGATAAGCCAACTGCGTTCGCTTTTAAAGTAATTAAATTATCTTAGTCGAAATTAAATACTTCCCCAACAGCAACAACAACAAAAAAACATATTAGTCTTAGTAAACTTACGTAACTTAGGAAACGTCACAAGGGTTGTTGTTGTAACTATGGAAACGGTGTATTTGTAATATGTACAATTATACGTCCTTGATCTTGTTCGTTCCAAAAGTCAAGGGTTGTTGTGTAACTATGGAAACGACTTCCTTAAATAACGTGTAGCATGCAGATGATTCTGTTTTGCAATTTGTTTCGCTTCCATTCAAGGTCAAGGGTTGTTTGGGTAACTATGGAAACTGCTTTTTTGCAATTACCCAACGAATTGGAATAACTCGAATATCTTAGGAATTCCGAAAGTAACGAAAGTTTTTTTTTTTTTTTTTTTTTTGAAGCGAAAACAAATGCTAATTGTTGTGTAATTACCGTTTAATTCGAGTGTGCGAATTGTAACGGGAAAAATGATGACAATTACTAATCCGGAAATCGCGTTGCTCATGTCTCCATGGAAACAAATTAAGAGAGAGAGAGAGAAAGGAAAAACAAAATATGTTCCCTTAGGAAAGTGGTCGTATTAAGAAATTGTCCCTCTTACGTGATCGTTCTTGGCAGATCGAAGAAAGGTAAATTAGAAAGCGAACACACCTGTACTTTTTACTTTTTTTTCTCCTCTTCGTAAAAGAATTCATTGCAATATCATTATTATTATTATTGTTTATCTGTTCATTTCATCTCCGGATCTTCGAGACGCCGTCGAATCCACGTGTAGACTGTATGTGTACAAGCGACACAGGATCAACATCTCGATTTCACTTTCTCCTTAGCAACCTGCAACAACAACAACATCAACAAGAAGAGAATTTATGTAATCGCGTTTCCATGGCAGCCATCTCGGATTTGTTTCTCTGTCAATGTCAATGGTTGTTGCGTAACGTTGGAAACGGTAGATCGAATAAATGAATGAATGAATGATACATGCGGTAGTGCATGATAATAATTACGCAATGACATTGTCACACTGTGACATTCCCTGGTTGTCAAATTTGATTGTTTTGTCACTTTTTAAGGTGAAAACCGTTGCCATAGCAGCTAAATGCGGTTAGAGTATTATGCAATGTCTTATTTCGCAGATAAACATTTGAAACTGACGTGATTGCGATAAAATTATCCGTGATACAATGTGGATGCGTGCGTGCGTGCGTCTCTGGATTTCTTGGTATTCGAAAATTTCCTTAGTTTCCATGGTTTCCGTGCAGTAAATAGTCGAACAATGACAACTGAATTCCAGTTAAAGATTGCCATGAACGTTTCGACATTGTTTTAATAAACAAATTCCTATCGGAAAATGAAAATCGCGATTTTTTCTTTAATTGAATTCTTAAAATATTCCAGATGGAGGAAGTCACATATCGCGCTCGCACAATGAATAAGGAATACGTGCTTCGAATCGATAACAATTGAACGTCGAAGTTGTCGAAGGTCGGACAACTTGATTTTTATTTTCCAATTCGAAGTCATATGCACTATAAATAAACTATTTCGAATCGTAAAATCGAATTAAAAAAAAAAAAAGAGAATCGAATCAAAGAAACAATTGATAAAATGAACGGTTGCTATGTTTATAAAACAATTGGTAAATAACATTTTTGTTTCTTTTTTTTTCATTTGTTTCATAACATTTCGATGCGTTTTCCAAACTGTTTCGGTGAATCGATGTAGACTAAGCAAAGACTCGTAAAGTTGATAAACACTACAAAAGTGAAAATTGGAACGAGTTTCCCAACACGGAGAAGATAATTAACAAATAAACGATGGAAACAAGCACGCGCGTGCCCTCATCGAATTTGAAACAAATGACGATTATTGAAAAACATATGATAACTCGATGAAATCAAGCATTCGGATGTTTAATTGTGGTCGCAGATGAATGAAATGGAGCGCGTTTCGTTCGTAATTGAATGGAGAGTAAAGTAAAGTAAATTCTCGAACGGTAATCTGTATGCTGAAGACGTTTCCAATTAGATATATTCTGCATCTAATTGACAGCATCCTTGAAGCGAGCCGACGTTGATCTGGGGATTTCAGATTACGAATGGTAATTATATACGAATATAAGTAGGCTTAATTTGTGGGAGGTGCAAGAGAAACAAAAATCACCACCTTAGCAACAACAGGATGTTTGTTGTGGCAACTTTCGCCCACACCCCGAAACAAGAAATCAAGAGCTTTTCGAGATGCAAAACAAAATGAAAATAAATAAGTTTTGGAATTGCGGCCGAAACGAAAGGGAAATGTTTTTTTTATTTATTTTATGTGGAGCAGCGGACACACGCGCCTCCACCGATCGTTTGTTTTTAATTGAGTGTTTTTTGTTTCTGCTCTTTTTACTTTTGTTTTGTTTTTTGTAAGTGTGCGGTACATTCAAACGAATTAAGGTCAAATCAAAGTTGGCAAGTAAAGAATAAGATGAGCGTGCGCTTGCGACATCTATGGGAATCGAAAGAAACAATTTATAAGGAAAAGTTAATTAATTTTGTCAATTAGTTTTTTTTTGCCAATTATTTTTTATCTAAAGATTATTTAGAAAACTAAATATTAAGTGGGAAAATATAGCAGAAGTTACTTAAATGAAAAACAGATGAATCATAAACTAGCGAGGTGACTTCGATCTTGGAAAAACACATATTTGCTCTACATATATATTCCAAATAAGTGCGAATCGGGTCGTGTGTGTGTCACGACTCGAATTGGCTTACGTAAATCGTATTTATTTTGTTTTGACAACAACAACAAAAGAACGTCGATTTTTGTTCCCACGCGGGCGTACCTCCTGTTATCGATTGGTAACTCGGAATGTTGAAAAAAAAAAGAAAAGATATTTCGTATAATAATTGTCGTTAATTTTGTGATTGGCAAAGAGTTTGTTTCGTAGTTTTGGTGGGCGGGTTGTTTCGGCTCGGGTGCGTTGCTAAGCGACAAATGTTGAAACAATTGCGAATATTGAGATGGTAACTATAGGTTTCGGGGTGGCGACATCTGAAAATTACATTTTTATTTCCATGTCCGTCGCGTCTCTTCATACATACACATCATAATATGTGTAAATATTGTAAAATTGCAAGGATGAAATGGACCAAGGTTGCTTGCGTAATGCATTCGATATGGTGGGATGTAACAGGTAGAAGTAGTAGTAGTAGTAGTGTGCATTGGAAACAAATGAAAAACGATAATACTATACACGTACATATATATATGTTGATGTCGCCGTCGTTCGAACTGATGTCACTTGACTGTCGTCCGTTCGGGAGGCATCACTAGCACAACCAATAGAAACAGAAGAAACATTCGAAAACAGAAACAAAATTATGGATATCTTCGATGTGGATGCTTGAGGAGCGTCCGAGATGCCGAAGATTACTTTATCATTAGTTTTCGTTATCGTCGTCAGTTCAATTCACGCGATCTCTTCAGGTTTGAATCGATTGATTAAATTTTTTCAGAAAACTAAATTTTCATAACTTTTCAGCTCGATTAGAGTGCGCGAAGGATCGTGTCGTTAAGTTCGAGAAGATTATTGGTATTCGACCGAGATATTCGTTGCATCCGAACCTTCTGCATCAAGCGACCAATGATGGTAGATCTCGCTCAATCACCATTGATTGTTTAAACAAATGCTTGGAGATCAAAGAGTGCTCGAGTTTCGTTCTCTTCTACGAGAACGCTTCCTGCTATTGGTTCACCGATGACATATCAAATCTTCACGAGGAGGACGAGACGCTCTACGACGCCGACGTCGCCTGGTTCCGGAAAACTTGTTTCCATGGTGAATATATTTATTTTATTAATTTATCACCATAACCATAAATTTATATAGCAAAGAAAACAAAAGTTTTAATGAGTAAATTTTCCAAAATTTTTATGTTTCTGATGACTAAATGAAACTCACCTAAATCAGAAATGAAACGAAACAGTTGAGTTCATTCTCGAATCAAATTAAGTCATCGTTGCTTGGTAACAATAAAAAATTTTGTTATTAGAAAACAACAAGTTAATTAACGAAATTGCGCGTTTTCTTTCTTTAATTTTCTTTAGATAAGACTTATCGACGTTGCGCGCTCGAAATAACTTACGTTGCTTGTGGTTATTTCGAGGTTTTTTTTTGCGATAAAAGAAATAGATTCATTAGAAATAGAAACGTTAAGTGATGCGCGTATTTTAAGTTCACAGAGGGGTTACGAATAGTAATTGGTTGCTTAGCAACAAATAAATTATGTTCGATAAGACACAACAAAAATGAATATAAACTTTACGTTTTGCAATGTTAATTTGATTTGATGACGAATATGCAGCATTAATTGGCGCGCTCTTGATTTATTCATTAGATCGTGCGGTTTTTCAACTTCCTCTGCTATTGTTCTTTAAATAGACAAATTATTAATATTAATTATATTTTTTTTGGTTTTTTTTTAGAGCCGAAAATTTGCGACAGAATCTGGACGTTCGAGCGAATCCCGGGTGCGACGCTCGTTGGAAACAATACGAAACAATTGCCGAAGGCGGTGAAGAGAAGCGAATGTCAGCAGGCGTGTCTGAACGAGACGACGTTCGAATGCAGATCGGCGAAGTTTCGCATCCAGAATTATTCGAATTTCCGCTCCGAGGCTTCCGGTCTGTGCACGTTGAGCGACGCGGATCGTCACAGCGTGCCGAACGCGTACAGAGCATCAAGACTGGACGAAGAGTATCTCGAGAATCAGTGCACGAAAAGTTAGTTGGTTTCTACGTCTGTTTCTGTTTCTATTTCGTTTGTTTATGCCTATAGATCTGACGAACGTCTTCTGCGCCTTCGAAGAGTTCCCCGACGTCCGACTCGGTCACTCCGACGCGTCTCTAAGCGACGCCTCGGAATCGCAATGTCGAAGCGAATGCGACTCGAAAACCATCTTCGGTTGCCGTGGTTACACCCTGTTGCCTGGCAGCCGATCGCATCTGTTCACGTGTCTGATGCACGGCGAAAACAGCAAGCTGCACGGACCCAGAGCTCTGGTCCATCATGCGGGTGCCAAATATTACGAAAGAGCCCCCTGCTTGAACAGTGAGCACACACTTTTCATTTATTTCCGAAATTTTTTTATTAACAAATTTCGTTTACGCAACGCGTAGTTACGGTGACCTGCAGTCGCGACGAAATGCTGGTCCGTTTTCAACCGGACAATCCGTTCCGCGGCCGCCTCTACATGAACGGATACTCTGATAATCCCGAGTGCTACGCCTTGGGGAACGACAGAGCTCCGATCACTCTCAGATTGCCATTGGTGATGCACAGATGCGGCATCCTCGAAGCGAGAAGTCCGATCAACAGGTACAACTCATCCAAATTGATACGTAACCATAGTAATAACTTGTTTATTTACTTGTAGAACGTTGATGTCGTCGACGATGATCATACAGTATAATTCTCTCGTTCAGACGCAATCGGATCGGATAATAAACGTGGGCTGCGTCTTCGCGAACGACACGAAGAAAGTCGTCGTCGGCACCGGTTTCAACGTTTCCAGAGATCACACGGGCCTCGGCACGAGCCTCATCAATTCCAGCGTTTCCTTGCCAACGGTTGACATGAGGATCGTCGATCTGAGCACGAACGGTGACATCTCGGAGACGGAAATCGGCGACGATCTCAAGTTGATAATCGAAATGCATCCGAGAAACAGTTAAATCCAACAATTTCCAACTAATATTAACAATAATAATAACAATATAATTTGCAGACGGTTTCGACATTTGGGCCGGACATTTGATTGCCATGACCGAGAACGGACGGGAATCCATCCTGCTTTTGGACGACAGAGGTTGTCCAACCAATTTAGACATTTTCCCATCACTGCAGAAGATCTACAACAACGATTCCGTCACTCTAACATCGACTTTTCAAGCCTTCAAATTCTCCTCATCGAACATCTTGAGGTTCAGCGTGATCGTGCAATTCTGCTCCGGCAGATGTCCTTCGGTTCGTTCATCGCTTAGCAACCCTTAATAATAATAACAACAATAACAAAAACAAAATACGTTACAGATCGATTGCGGCGCCGTTTACAACGCGAACAACAAGAGGAGAGCGGTGGTAACCGAAGACGTTTCGAATCGAAAATACGAAGAGGAAATGGGAAGCGTTCTCGAGGAAATGCCCTTGGAATTCGTCCTCGTCGTGAGGAGCGCGACGGTTCGACAAGATCGTCTAATCCATGGAGAAAACAATCGAATTCTCGTCGCCGGCTACGGTAAATCGATCAATTGATTCCCTCTCAACGAGTATAATTATAAATTTCAGATTTGAACACGAACGAAGTTTGCCTCGATTTTTCGCTTCTAATCGGTATCGCGATCACTTGGATCCTCATTCAAATCATCCTTCTGGTGTGTTGCGTCGCTCTGATACGTAGATACAGGAAGCATTACGAGGATCGGCAACTCTCCGAATCGGTGGAGGAATTGCACAAGAATTTCGGTCTCGGTTTCAGCAATCTGGAGAACGCGCGGAGGGTGCGATTCGCCGATGGACATTTGACTTGAATCGAAGACCAAAGGCAAAGTGTAGAAAGTGTACATAGCATTTATATTTTAGCTATATGTTTCGAATAAATCTATATTTTTTTTATACCGATCGTCACGTTTAATGTATGCAACCAAATGCGCACTTCACCTCAAACTGATAATTACAGGTAAACCATGGATGCCACAAATATGATCGAGGGCTCATTCGAAAGCTTATTAATACACCTTCAATTTGCGTTATTAACGATTAAATTCGCGTGTGCGGTTATCGAGTTATTAAATAATAAAGGTAATTACCTGCACTCTTCGATCTTTCGCAAAAACTCCTCTTTCTTTTCCTCGATCAATCCTTGAAAAAAAATTGAGTTACATTAATTAATTGCTTTCTCGTCGCAAATCGATTTACCATTTGGTAAATTTCCAATTCTTCTCTTCATCTCCGAACACAGAATTTCCGTGCACTCCACTATTTAGTTCTTTCCTTCTTTTTCTTCATCTCTCTGTGTCTTTGAATTGCAGACGACTTTGCGCTCTTCCGGAAATTGGGAATCCACCGTCAAAAGTAAAACGCAGATCAAAGTGTCGAAAGTTTGTGAGAAAACTCAGGAAATTATCAATTGGAATTGAATTATTACATAAATCCGTGTACGTTTTGACAGTCAGTCTCTTAAGAAACGTCAACTTTCCTGTCATTCAGTTACTCGTTGCTAGGAAACGGAAAAACAAAGGTGTTAATACAAGGTGTTGATTATAAAACAAATTGAACACTCACGTTTCTATGCAGGTGAATACATAAGTTTCAAATCAAATTCTGCAACGAAATAAAAAAAAGAAAAGTTACAAGTTAAAAGGTAAAGAAATAAACAAGTTTCGATAGGCATAAATACATTTATTTCTGTAACATTTGCGTCATAGTTCATTTCTTCATAGGGTAATACGTACACTGTTTGCTTGTTTGTTTGTTTAAAATCGATATAAAAGTACAGGAAATAACAGAGAAATCAACAGAAAAAATAAAGTTAACAATATATATATATTTATAATATAATTTCTTTTTCTTCTTTTTTCATTTGATAATTTAATGGTTTTTCTTTTCTTTTGGAGAGTATAAATTATCTTAATATTATGTGCATATTTTTACATTTATATTATGCAATTTTCGCTCGCTATCCATCTCACACGGCACCTCTCACACTTGTTGTATGAATCAGAGCAGCCTTCGTGATCTTTCCTTCTTTCTTATACACGCAATTGTCTTTTCTCATTCTTATTATAATTATAATTATATTCATATAAATATATACAAGATGATTCAATACATTTAGTTTTACGTAAACAAAGTTGCCTAAGGTTATACTTATGTAATAGGCCGCGCCATCTGTGGTGCTTCTCATTTCTTTTGTTTTAAGCTGAGATTACATTAGCAAAATTTCTTATTGGATCGATATATAAATTCTGGTTTTTTTTTATACATATATAGATAAAGATATTATTTTTTTTTGTATACAAATATAAGATATAAATATTTACATTAAGGTTGGTTCACACGAAGATTAGTATCTTTATCAATGATTAAAACAATTGCAACTTTGACATTTAAGATACTATCCTATTGTGAATCAGTCTTTCGACATTTTATTTATATATACACACAGACATAAATTAAGATATGTTAAATTAGTTTTAATTGATTAAGATTAATATTTTTCTGCGCAGGTTTGGATTATGAACAGAAATATGTACATAATTTATACGTTACGTAATGTAATTAGTCTTTTTGTGATGCAATTGGTATGAGGGAAAAGGAGAGAAAGGATCGGTGCAGAACAGTAATCATAGATGGATCTCTTCTCAGTTTATATACTAATCACTTACTGAATGAGTTGTACTCTGTAAGCATTCGTCCTCATTAAGTACAGAATCTGGTGCTCATGATGTATGCAACAGCAGTTCAACTGGATGCCTACATCAATAATATGTAGATCATACGCCATCTGTTATTCCATTAACTAATTATTTACTTTGACGTTGTCATTTGTCAAATATACATTTAATTTCACGTAAGAATCTTTCCAATTATGTTAAATAATGTTTTTTTTTTAATATTAATTTACATTTAGACGTGTAAATAAACATATATAATTTATGTGCAAAATGAAACAAAAGAGGGACGCGATAATTGTAAGATTATTGCGTAATAAAAACCCCCCCTGCGCTTCGTGATTTACACGGCCGATGGCGACAAAAAAAAACCGTACTTTAGCACGGAATTAACGCAATGAATTACAGCCAGCTTCGCCGTTATCCTCGTAATATTGTTATTAATAATACTACAGCAGCAAAGTTATGATTATTTTCTTCATTTTCTCCTTCTTCTAACACACACACACACATACACAAGAAGAAGAAGAAAAAAAAGCACATCTAATAATCTCCGCTTTTCTTATTAGTTCAAGTTTGCTCCTCGTTTCCAAGACTACTCAAAGTCATGTCCAGTCGTCGTTTAATATTCTCGGGACGTTTGGCCGTTATTGGTACGTGTGTGCTTTATTTTTTTTTCATCTTCTTTGTGTTGGCAATTCAGTTTTAGGGACATTTCAGTTTCGCAGTTGTGTCAATGGTTATTTCTGTTGTTTGTTTGTTGCTTTGGTTACTAGTGATATTTTTAATATTTTTGTTTTATTAGTCGTTGTCTCGCTTTTCGTCGTCTTCGTCGTCGTCGTCGTTCCATTTAAATCTCTCATCTTTCGTGCATGCACCTCTGTCTGAGTGGGCGAAAAGGTTAAGTCGCGGGGCCGACGGTAATCAGTCAATTTTTGCATCGAAATATCAGCGAGTGCGATGGCTTGGAAATGTTAACGCCTCTCTTTTGTTTTACGTTTTTACGCGAAAAGGGCTTTCTCAACTCTTTTTTTAACTCTTTAAGTAATTAAGGTTTTTGTTTTATATTTACTTCAAGAGGTTGGTATTGTTTAGGGTGTTTGTTGGTTGGTTGGTATGATGGGGAGTCAGGGAGGAATCAGACGTTACCTGGGTAGCTGGGCCTGGGGGGATGCAGGAAGGGACTCCGGACCGTCGGCACTCCACCGTTCGACGAGGATCTGCCGCCTCCGTTGACCGTCACCAGGGTCGTCGTCGTCACCTCCGAAGTGCACGACTCCCTCTTGTGGTACGTCGGCTGACTGTACAATCTAATCATCAATCATCATCAATTAGAATATACATTTTTCTTTTTGTTTGTTTGTTTGTTTTTTTTACATAAATACAAGTTTCATCAAGTTGACCACAATCTCATTACAGAATGATAAACAGACATAACCTATAAATAGTGACATGCAACATTCAAGTTGGTACACCTTGTTGTGGTAACATGAAACAATCGTACCAACTGATGACACTGATGGTTGTTGTTTCTCGTCTTGTGATTGAAACGAAAACGTGCGGAAAGCAAAGCGCGACGTTAATTGGAGTTGTTCGATAGTTGGCGACGCAAAGCACGTAACACCCATTCAGCAGAACCACCAGAAACGATGGCAACTGCTCCAAAATAAAATCACTACCATCAAAACTAGTCGACTCGATTGATCTAATTGTAATTTAATTACATTTTCAACTACAGAAATTTGATCAAGTTGGTATCACTTCGATAGTTCGTAAAAGTTACCAAAAACAAATTACAAACAAGTTACCAACTATATAGTATTAAGGTAATTTAAATGCTTATTGCAATTGAAAATAGGGAAATATATTATATTTTCTTTTTAAACTTTTGTTCAGAGACGATTGAAAATCTTTTTTTTTTGCTTGGGAAATAGAAAAATCCGAAAATGGCATGAATTCTATTACATTTTTTTTTCGGTATTTGCGTAGTTTTCTCCGAGCATTGCGAGGAAAACTGGGGCGAACGAAGAGTGTGCATCAAATAGGAAATGAGCAGAGGAAATTGGGTTTTTCGCATTGTTAGTTTACATTTCCTCTAAACTACCTTCATCATTCGAATTATTGAACATAATCATCTCAAAAGTACAAGATCTAAACTACGAGCTATATACTACTTTGTTAATGTTGCTATGGCAACTGTAGTAATGTTATTTGTTGTTGTTGTTGTTGTTGCAGCATTGAAGCGGCACGTTTTCCGGTTTCAGATCGCAGGCGGCGGCGGTTGTTGTCGTCGTTGCTATGTGGACTCCGGCAATGTCGCATTCCATTCCGACGAGCGTCCATTCCGTCAGACTGACCGGAACAACATGCAACACGCTTTAACCAATCAGATCGCGTTCGTACACAGATGTCGCTGTTCGATACATGATGCAACCGTGTGCGTGTTTATGTTTGACTGGTAGAGGAGTAGTTGGTGTACGTATTTCGCTCTTCCCGGATTTAGCAAGGGAAAAGGGTTGTTTTCACCCAACCTCCTCCACAGCATACATACATACATTATTCATACGACCACAACCTCGTAAATCCACCACCACCAACCCTCCGACAAAGCGAAACAAAAATCAACGACAGTAACAACAACAACAACATCACTATGGCAACAATCTCGACTTAGCAGTAACAAAACAATGGAGTTCGTTCGTGCGAAAAACCGTGTAATGGAAACACGTTATGCGAATTTGAATATTTAGTTTATGAGAATTACAATTATTTGGAAATTCATTTTCTTTTTTATATATGCAAACAAACCATGTTTCGTAATGCTTACGTGCGTGCAGCAATATACATGTTTTGTATGAAAATTCGAATGGGATTTCGTTCGTAATTTGTTATAATTGGTGTGGATTAACGAGAATCCGAGTATAATGCCAAATTAACGAAACGAAACGTCACGCGCAAATTGGGTTGCGCCCCATTAGTAGAGCGCGATTTTTTTTTTGCGCCTTTGTTGTTTCAGAGGCTTCTGTTGTTTCGTATTTTACCGTGCGTTAAAATCCGAAGCTAGAGTTATGTCCGAGCATGTGTGTGTGTATGTATGCGGATAAAAGGGTTTGCAGTGGAGGGGGGGGGATGAAAAGGATGGTGGAGGAGGAGGACGGTTTTCGGTTTCGCTTGTACCGTATTATCCGCACTTTAATGGTCCGGCGAAACGTAATGAGAATT